GTAAAAAATATAACAGTTCATTAGAATTGCATAAGTTGTTTATATAGAATAAAATGCAAACTCTTTGTCAAGTTTTTCATAGCTCATCCACTGCATGTAATCCACAAACAGGATAGGTCTACAAATTACATTAGTAGCAAATATGTGTTCTATAACCAAACATAGGGAAGATTTTGCAATGTTGATTACAACTAAAACCATATTATTTACAGATGCTGCAATATAAATTTTGCAATCGTATGCATGGAAGACAATTCTTCCACTATCTAGTGGTGAAGCATTTGTTGGATAGGTACGTTTGTGTACTGGACATGGAAAATTGTCATGCTGTTACTGAATAGAAATTATATTTACTTGAACATTTTATATGCCATTTCACTGATAAAGGTACATGGGTCCTTTTTTTCTACAGAAACACTGTAAAAGGTATGTCAGATTTTAATACGTTATAGTTGTTATTTCTCTAAATGAAATATGATTCAGAAAAATACACATTTCCTCTCTGAAAACTGTTGTATTACCTAATAATAAATTTCTATCTTTTTTTTGGATTGATCAATATCAGAAGATGACTCAATGTTGTTCAGATGACCATGAGATCATTGACCATACACTCCGTAATCTTTTGCTTTTGGAATGTGCTTTAGACTATATTTATATGCTCCTATTGCTAATAATATCAAAACTCCAAGACTGCATTATAGCTCCTTTGATGACCATCAGCAGGGAAATTTTACTATGTTTGTGAATAGAATTGTGATACCCGGTCGATATGTGTCCTGTACCAACAGGAACACACAATGACCTTTATGGTATTATGTCAAATTTGATGAACTTTTATTTCATTTCATGTAGTAATCATTTTTTATCTGTAATATGTTACAGAATAAAACATTTTAAAACTTACAAATCATGTAATATCTGTATATTTATTAATTTCATTGTACTATAGCTCACTGTATGACTCCCTCTTGAATTTTTGTAGTAATTTAATTGATTTGATTAAAAAAACTGCACCAAATCACAAGGCAAAAATAAAATCCAAATATTGTAATCTGTTTTAGCAGAGTGAATGTACCAAGAAAACAGATAATTCACCCATTTAAATTTTTCATTCAACTCATTTAAGAAATGAAATACGCTCTTAAGTTTGTGTACGATAATTTTAATATTCAATCCTCATACCTTACCTGATTTCACAAAGTAGTTTCAATCTGAAGTATACATGACTAATCATAATTTATCAACAATTCATATAAAAGAAAATAAAAATAGCAAATTATGTATCATATTAAATACATTTAGTGCAACTTTTTGAGTGAATTTGACATCTCGTGTAATTACTCATCCGTTTCCAATTCATCAGATCTGTTTTACTTTTCGTTTCGGAACCAGACAGCAAATTTCATTTTGTGAAACCACCAAGTCATTTATCTGAACATGATCAACCATTGACTACTTTTTGAAAATAAATAAATAAATAAACTGAAAGCTTTCAGATTTTATATTATGCCCTGAGGTTTTTTTTTTTTTTTTTTTAACATTTTGTGTTATCTTTATTTATTAAATATCATGTTCTTCCCACTTAAATCATAAAATTCAATTCAACAGCAATATCACAAATATTTAAAAGAGCATGTCTTTCGAATTCCCAGTACACAGTCTCGCACATTGGAGATAAAAATGTTCCCTCCTCCCATACAGAGTTGCTATTGCTCACTTTGAAATCATTGAGTTTCTTAATCAAAGACTTATAAATGCGTTACAAGATATGAAATAGATAATAAAACAAATTCCAAATTAGGGCTTCCAGATGCCCATATTCTAATGGAGACATACATTATTCAAAATTTGATGGCCCTAAACACAGTTGTTTTATCACAACGTGAGAAACATACATACATTTATGCAGATTCTTCATTATTTAACTTCTTTAAATATAATACTCTAATATTTGGTGGCAACAATTGAAAAAGTGATTCACCATTTATAATGAATCAACGCAAAATGCCAAAACAAAATTAATAGCCTTTCTGGGCAAATTGCCCCTTTGAGCTAAAAAGATTATCTTCAAGAAAGCTGAAAATAAAAAAGCAGGAAAAAAAAAAGATTGGCCCACTTTGAGAACAGCACATGACACTTTAGGAGACATTAATTTTTCCTCCCAAAGACCCATCCTTTAAGGAGTTGGGAAAAAAAAAAAAAAAAAAAAAAAAAAAAAAAAAAAAGAGGAGGAAAAATATTTAAAATAGAAAGCAGATGTCAAATTAAGCATAGCAATGCATATCATAAAGATGAGGTAAATAAAGGTACAGTGAGGACTATACATGCTCTTAATAGAAAAGAAAATAATTATTGATAAAATATTGTAAGCAAAAGCTACAATATCATTTCATCAGAAGTACAGGCAATTATATAAAGCATCGGTTAGAGTAGACTGAAGGGTACCCCTTGTATTATTGCGAAGATGTTGTTTCATTTATTGCCAAGTTGTTGTTTCATTTATGTTGATTGCTGAGTAGTTGAATGTTCTGTACATCCGTAAATATACTCAGTCAGTAAATAAAGTCAAGGGAGTGAACAATGCCAAGTTTCTGCAATTCTCTGGTGATTTTTTAAGTGAAAATAGGTCAACGTGTTCATGGATAAAGAAAGTCAAGGCAGTGCACAATGCCTAGTTTGTGCAATTCTGTGATGTTTTTTTCCATTAACAAATGTATTTGTTATACCAATGTTTTATTATAACTCTCTTGTTCTGATCATAATTTGTAATTTTTCGTGTCGCATTTATGTAGGTCAATGTGCACAAACTCGGTATCCATGTGCCGCCAAAAATCACCAATGGGTACTCGTAAATATACTTTTACCAAAACATCACTGTGCAAGTAGTAATACTTTATTGATTATGCCAAAGCATTCAACTAGTTGATTTATACATGTATAATGGAGAGAAAATTTATGTGAAGAGGTCCTTTGCGAATGATTAGCATACTTGATATAAAATAAAATAATGGCTGATAATAGAACATCACTAATAGCACATTTCCTTAGATAACCACTCCCATAATACAAATCTATTTAAGTAAGAGGTTATTCTCTTTGGAAAGTTCGATTGCATTTTCTACAAAAAAAAGCACACACTGTTTTGCATATCATTACATTCGTCCATATCTGTGTTGATAGCAAAAACTGAATCATAATATTAAATGATGAGAAATATGCCCAAGGAAATTGCAATACAGTTTAACTAAATAAATGGTTGTATAATAGAAATATAAAATTGCATGTTTCCACAGGACTTTTATTAAGAAATAAGAGCTAAAAATTCAATAATAGTGGAGAGCATGCAGTTGTCATGAAAAATTTCATTCATACACAGTTTATGAGCACTGGGTGAGACAGTTTTGAGAAATAATAAGTAAGTAAGAAAGTTTTCTCATCATCATATTCAAAGACATTTTTTTTCATATTTTGTACTTGGATCTGTTTGGGAAAGTGACTGATTTTGCCATCAGTAAAAGTTATCCTGCTTAAAACAGTTTATTATTGTGTTTTCTGAAACATGGTTTCAAAATATGTATTTAGAAGATGCAGAAAATACACCAAGGAGGTTAGTCCTTATTAATTCATTTGCACTTTCATCCAAATTTTCCACATTATGAAGAATACAGCTCACCTCACGAAGATCATATTCTTTCATCGCTCTATAAAAATTCCTTAATCGCAAACTGGAATAACAGATATCATGTTTTCTGCAAGGAATAAAATTCCAAATTTTCCTCATTATGAAGAATACAGCTCCCCTCACGAAGATCATATTCTTTCATTGCTCTATAATAATTCTCTGATCACAAACTTGAATAATAGATATCATGTTTTTTGCAAGGAATAAAACTTCGGCATACTTTATGAAGTATGTTTTGTGACATGCAGTTGTGAATCAGATCAAAGGTAAAATTCTTTTCATCTTACAGTTTCTAAATTCATTCATTAAAAAAATTTCTGTCATCATCTACACCATACGTTATTTTTTCATAATTTCAAATTCATCAAGAAAAAAATCAAATACATTTTTTGCTCACATTAAATGACATAATAATTACAACAAACGATGAGTCAATTTCCCATGTTTCTGCACAAGTGCCGATGGAACATTGACATTTTGATACACTTAAAAACTCGCAAAACATTAGAATAAATTTTTATTTCAGAGGCAGAAACAGAAACAATTTAAAAAATCATCACATCTGAAATTTAGTGTCATTCACTTCACAAATGATGTTAAATTATGCGAAAGCACAGTCATTTTACGATTAACTAAATTATCAACAGAAAAAATGCGTTCAAAATTCAGTATTAAAATAGTATTTTTATAATTAAACAGTTTCAGTGCTTTCGTAAGAGGAAAAAAAACTCAGTTTTGTATCCCTGATGGTAATAGTTTTAAATCAATATGCACAAAATTTATTCATACCACTAAAAAAAAAATTATATGAAGTGCTAACAGAGATATTAAAAATTGAAATTGTTTTGTTCTTTTATTTATAATACGTTTAGCAGGAAATAAATGTTAATTCAAAGAACACTGCAATGGAAGTTCTCACATGTCCTATCAAACTTTTGTCAGTGATTTTAACTGAATTATCACCAGAAGAAATTTATTAATAAGCGAACACTACAACAACGAATATCTAAGATATTCTTTGACTACAACAACGTTTGCACCCTAACAAGAAATCTTCGATGTTTGTTTACATCGCACGATAAATTGTTAATCTTTGCCATAATTCACCGCGAAACATGATAAAAAGCCAAATATTGTAACCCATCCAGAAGCCAGTGACGTCACGGTAAACTTTTCCGTACACCTTTGGGTGTCTTACATGTGTGTCTTCCGAAACAGAATTTTTGCAAAAAATTTTTTCGACAGCCTTCCAGCATTTATCCTTTCAAACAAACTTTCACACTAAAAAGCTCAACTCACCTCAGCCGTATTTTGTTTAATAATTGTTGAGTATGGTAATGAAGGTGTTGTATTATAATTTTATGACTATGCATAGTATTAACTGGCAATTAATTTTCACCCATTTATTATAGTGGTAGGTATTATCATAAAAGGTAAAATTTTGTAAATGAAACATATTTTGAAAACCTGATGATCGACAAAAGTATTTAACTGCACTGAATAACCAATTACTCAGTACACAAAACGATATTTGTATTTTGGCATTTTTTATAAATAGTTTGAAGTTTTCATTTGAAGTTACATTTAATCATAATCTTAATTGAAATCATTTGTGATTGTCATGTATAAATTTGTGAGTTTGATTTATCCTTGTGATAAATTATTAAATATAGGTGAAGACAAATAAATTCACATTTTTGATATAAATTTCTTTTACTATTTATTTACTATAAAACTTTGATTTCATAATGCTTTTCTTAAAGGATTTGAACTTTGAAACTAAGCATGTCTGCTATGAAAGGAAGTGATTCCCCATCTAAGGTAAATTTTTGCATTAGTTATTAAACATTTCTGATTGTGAAATGATAAGTATGCATGCCTAGAAGTAACAAAAAAAATTATGTAAACATAGTAAAGTCTATTTTGTTGCATAGTTAAACTAAATTTAAATTTCTTTAAACTAAAGTTTAATATTTTTTATTCAAATATGAGACGATAGCAATTATGTAATTAATCTCTTTAGCAATGTGTAGGTTCCACATTATTAGTCTAATGTTTTAAATTATATATATTTTACAAATCTTTATTTTGTTCTGAACATAAAAAATGTTTGTACAATTTTTGAGTTGCTTCGTAATGTGTCTTCACGTCATGATGTTACGTGATAACTTCGCTATCATAATGTTAGTTTATGTAATATTATGATAGTGAAGATTGACATAATGTAATGTTGCTTTACATAGCATTATTTTACTAGATAATTTATTGTGCAGACAGTATCATAAATGCTGCTATAATCATCTTTAATATATTGAACAGTGTCAGTAATTGATATCAGCTGTGAATAAAACACATCATAAGATGCTGAAGATATTTTTCTATGTTTCTATGTTTTTCGTGCTCTTCAAGTTTGCTCCTCCAAACTAGCCCTTGATAAAGAACTAAATTATTTAAAAGCAATAGCTATTGACAGGGGCTTTTAACCCAACATTATTAATCAAGCAGTTAAAAAATTCTCATCTCAACACACTAAAAGGCACACTCTTGTTTTAGGAGATTATAAAAATTCTGGGTTGATCTTTGGATTATGGTAACTTGGCGATTTTTTGGCGAAATTTGGCAACCAACTCTGCTACAGCAACCCTCTATTTTTTTTTTTCGCCGTCATTTTGTCTTCACGAAGTAAAGACATGTTTCTTTTCTTTTTATTTACTCAACACTTTTTCCAACAATCTACTAGCCGAATTACACTGATGCTAGAAATTTTATGTAACAAAACTGCTTAATCATGACAAATATGAACTGCAAAATTGGGAAAAAGTGCAGAATCGCAAACTCCTTGCGCATTTTTCAGAATAGCACATACACATAAACCATTTACACGTAGAGACTTATTTTTACTTAAAAAAAATCCCAGAATTGCACAAAAATGGCATTGCACACACTCTTAACTTTATCCATCTACACTGCTATTTTCTCATAAATTACAAAAATTTGCACGAAAATGCAGGAAAATTTTCTTAATCTTTAAACTCGATAAAAAGCACATATATGAAATTACCTGGTCGAGAAAAAGTATATATCCTTTCCAAGGACGAACATTTCCACGTATAAAATAAATAAAATATCCAAAAACTTTTACCTTTAAATTATCTATTATATTATACACGTCAGCAGCGAATTTATACGCAAACATTAAAAATAGTTACAAATACTTAGTGTCAAACATTTAAATTATTTCCATACACGTTTACTTCAACTGAAACGTATACCAAATTCCTACAAACATAAAATTCACAAAATAACTATCATTTAATTAAAATATCACTAAACCATGTACACGTCGACTTATTTTTACTTAAAAAAACATCCCAGAATTGCACAAAAATGGCATTGCGCACACTCTTCAGTATATCCATGTACACTGCTTTTTTGTCATAAATTAGAAAAATTTCACGAAAATGCATGAAAATACTCAACGTATACTACTCAAACGTATTCCAAAATACTACAAATATATAACTCACAAAATCACGATCATTATATTAAAATAATTAAATTAAAAAACACTACTTAAAATATAAATAAGCACATACATTAATTAATAAAAATTAGATTACAATCCTAATTACTTTAAACTAAATCATTGCTAATAACAATTTTTCCAATAATACCACATTAATTTATTTACTCCTTACATTTAGAACAATGCATAAAAATAATATCCCAAAAACGATGAAAAATACAACTTACCTAATCTTCTTCAGAATCTTCATTACGTGGCTGCAGTACTACTGCTAATTTCTAAATCCTAAATCCAATAGTCAACTGGAAGTCTATTCACCAAGTAATAAGAAATTAATAAAATTTCACGTATACTCAAACTACTTTCAGCAAACCACGTACCCTTCCTTACACTCCTTTTCACAAAATGTCCATTTTCACCCTATTTCTTGCACCGCCATTTAAACTTGTAATATCCTTCCTTTCACACAATCTCAACTTTTTATTATCAGATAAACACATTAAAAATTTAGAATTCACTTTACATAGCGCTATGCAATCCGAAAATTAATCAACACTATTTCACAGAACACACAATGAAGCTTAATACAAAATAATTTTTCCAAATTAACCCCCTTTTCTGATTAAAGAACTGTAATTCGTCCATTAATGTCACGATTCACACAACACAGAATAAAGGTAAATACGAAATTTCCAGATTTTTTCCAGTTTTCCCCCCTTTTCCGATTAAACAACTGTAATTCGTCCATTAATGTCACATGACATATCTCATGATCTCTCATTTCCCTCACACAAAATAATGCGTAATCGGAACTGAGTGCTTCTCACATTATTACCAAAGTCCTAGGTAGTAACCTTTATCGCCTCCAAAATGTCGCCAAACTACCAGTTACCATATTCCAAAGATCAGCCAAATTCTGTTGTCATTCCCTTCTTTCCATCAATTAGCTATAAAGTTGCACATATTTTGCAGAAATTTAACTTTCGGGTTTATTCCTCTCACATCAATAAAATTCCAAGTTCCATACTCAAGGACCCCATTCCGGATATGAATTCCTGGGTATTTATAGGATTCCTTGTCAGTGTGGTTTAATTTACATTGGCCAGACTAAGAGGGCCTTAAAATTTCGCGTCGAGGAACATGAGGCATATGTTAGAAAAAAGGAAACACTGAAGTCTTCTGTTGCTCAACATTGTTGGTCCGAAAATCACACTTTCAATTTTTCTGCTGCCAAAATTATTCAAACAACATCTTCCATTGGAGAACTGGATTTTCTAGAGGCATTTCACATTCATAAAAATGATCTTTCTGTTTTAGTTAACAATCCTAATTCCAGTCCAACTTTGCCTTCGACCTTTAAAGAAATTATGTTTTAGTTCTGGTTTCACCAACAGATGGTGCCAATTGCTTATTCTTGTCAAGGCTTTCTTATTTTATGTAATCGTTATTTCCTATCTTGTTCATTTGCGGGTTTGCAGCTGAGGATGGTGGTTTGGTAAAACCATCGAAACTAGTCCTGTGAAAATTTTGTAAATATAACTCTTGATTTTTGTTGTTTGACTTCTGAATTAATGCTGAAGACGTTCAAAATTGGGCTGGCATTAAACATGTAAACTCTTATGATCTGTTGTCAGTTCTTGAAATGTAGATTTATTCCAATTCTGCAAGATCATTCCACAGTCTTTCTGTTAGTGAAACATTAAGGTACGGGAGTTATCTACATCTTCTAAAAAAGTTCTTAATTTTAGCAACCTCTTTATCAATAAATATGTACTTCCTTATCGCATTGCTTGATCAATAATTGCTCCTTTTCTTGCTCGCTTTCTAAGAATGGCATTAATTTTGGCAGTTCTTGCTGCTATTGCTGCTTACCTAAATTTACCAGTGAAATTTGTAACTAAATGAATCAGTTTAAATCACTAATGGCAAATATCATATCCATCCTCCTGCCTTATATTTATTTATTAATATATCAATAAACTAGAAAAAAACTATTTATTAATGTATATAGTCCATAAATAAAAATAAGCTTGTCATTAATTTTTTTTTCAATTCATTTAAATTTCATTTCAAATTCAAACTATCCAACAAAGGATGGAATCGGAGTCGACCTGTTTTTAGCGACTGCAGCTCCGATTCCTTTTACCCCCAAATCTGCCCGATTCCGACTCCACAGCCCTAGTTCTTACCACCCTTCTCAAATATTTAAAGATTTGTGCTTATGATAATATTTATTTTCCCACATTATCATAATATTCTATTATAGTTTTTGTTTCAGAAGGTAAGTTTAAAGGTGCGATGAATCATAAATTGTATTAAATCCTTGAATCTTTGAAATTCAGCATGTAAGAATCCACTAGTGTCCAAGAGCACACATATTTTCCATGTGCTGACACTGGTTGAGTTGAAATCCTGGTGAACAAATTGGCTGCTTGATAGTTTTGTGGATTTTTCATGTGTATGAACCAATTTTCCTTAAAAAATTCTGTATGAAGGCACCGCTTTCCTTAGGAAGATAGCCCTTAAGTATTTTGCCATAATCTAAATAATACTTATCTTTCCTATGAGAATAATAATCATTAGAAAGACTTTACTTAATATTAAATTGTTTTAAGTAAATTAAAAATCTTAATTTAATTAAAGGTCACAGTACAGTAATGTAACAGTACAGTTTTAAAAAAAATACATTTATATTAAGCATATACAATGAAATTCTATAAATGAAGCACATAAGTAAAAAATCTATACTTTTGAGGCTGATTTTCTCAACATATGTGTATTCCAGTATTATAACACATGCTTTTAAGACAAAAAATAAGTTAAAAATTTACAAGTGCGTATTATATGCTGGATATAAAAATGATAAATGTAAAAATAAGGAAAAAATAAGCATAAAAAAATTATATTTCTACATGTACCTAAATGTATATGCTCCATAAATAAAATTTTATGTAGAAGAAATGACATACCTTATAGAGACTTAATGGATATTGCATTTCGGCATTGTTTTTCTTTTTTTAAAAATTGTTTTTCTTCTGTTCTTCTTTTTTTCTTTCTTTCTTGGCTTCTGGCTTCTAATTTTGCACCTTCCGCTGAGCAGGAAAGCACTACAAGGAGGTGAGATTTTTTGTTACCTGTGGGTTTTCTATGAAGTGTTTTTGTTCCTTTCACATCAATTGTCTCATTTCATGTTGCATTAAAAATTACTCCAGTATGTGACAATAAATAATTTTTTTGACTCCTTTGGTCAGTAACATATTTCTAGAAATTATCAATATGTTGCTGAAATCTTATG